GGTGGGGGGGGGAGACAGGACTGTCCCTGACTGGGTGGCACAGGGAGGGCTCAGGGGGGTCCCTGCCGGGTGCAGTGGGTGCTGAGGGGGCTGCTCTGGGCTCCAGCAGGTCTGTCTCCAGCACCATGATCGAGGAAGAGCCTCCCAGCTCCAATCAAGGCCAGTTTGCTGCCCGGAATGGCACCAGCAGCTCCTTGGACCTAGAATCTGTGGTACAACCCCTGGTCTTGAACCCGTGGGACGTTGTGCTCTGCATCTCTGGCACCATCATCTCCTGTGAGAACGCCGTCGTGGTGCTGCTCATCTTCCACAGCCCGGCTTTCCGGGCTCCCACGTTCCTCCTCATCGGCAGTTTGGCCACCGCTGACCTCCTGGCTGGTTTGGGTTTGATCCTGCATTTTGCCTTTGTCTACTTCATCCCATCAGAGGTGGTCAGGCTGCTGACACTGGGGCTCCTGGTCACCTCCTTCACCGCCAGCATCAGCAGCTTGTTGACCGTCACCATCGACCGCTACTTGTCCCTCTACAACGCCCTGACCTACTACTCCAAGAGGACGGTCACCAGGACTTACATCATGTTGGTCCTCACCTGGGGAGGCTCCATCTGCCTCGGGCTCCTGCCCATCATGGGTTGGAACTGCCTGAAGGAGCCCTCCTCCTGCAGCATCGTCAAGCCCTTGATGAAGAACCACCTCGTCATCCTCTCCGTCTCCTTCTTCATGATCTTTGCGGTGATGCTCCAGCTTTACGTGCAGATCTGTAAGATCATCTGCAGGCACGCCCACCAGATTGCCCTCCAGAGACATTTCCTGGCCACTTCTCACTACGACACCACTCGGAAAGGCATTGCCACCTTGGCCCTCATCTTGGGCACCTTTGCTTCCTGCTGGCTGCCCTTTGCCATTTACTGTCTCCTGGGGGACAGCAGCTACCCAGCCCTCTACACCTACGCCACCCTCCTCCCGGCCACCTACAACTCCATGATCAATCCTGTCATTTATGCCTTCAGGAACCAGGAGATCCAGAAGGTGCTGTGTGCCCTGTGCTGTGGGTGCTTCTCCTCCACCAGCCCCTTCCGCTCCCACTCCCCCAGTGACGTCTGACACGTCTGTGTCCTCCCCATCCCCACCCCCTCTGCACCTTCCACTCACCAACTGCTTGAAGGGTTTCCTTTTCTCTTTGATTTTTCTCCCCCTCCCCTTTTCATTCCCAGACACTCAGGAAGTCTTGGAATCGAGCAGCTTTTCCCAGCCCCATCCTTTGGTGCACAGGCCCCTTCTCTATTTTTCCACTTTTTGAATGCACAGGAGAGAGAGAGAGAGAAAAAAATCCATATTTTTAATCCATAATCTAATCTATATTTATGCCCGAGGGCAAGAGAGGAAGGGGAAGATCCTCATATTTTCTTTACAAGTATTTATGATGCTTTATTTTTATAAGGGGGAGGGAAGTGATGCCAGGAACATCCTCCCTCCCCTCTTGCTTTTTTTTTTTGTTTTTACAGCCTCATTATTGACCTCAGACAATTAAAATACATATATTTTGCACGTTTGGGGAGGGAGGGGGGCACGGGGAGGACTGGCTGGGGGAGGAAGGACTCAAACCTCCACCCCCCTCCCAGCCATCCAGCCGTTTATCGATGGTTTCTGTAATGCTGCTGGGATGTGATGCTCCTGCCTCCAGCCCAGCGCCGGGACTTGCTGCCCTCTAGTGCTCGTTGCCTTCGGGGCTCCACACCCCAAAACCCCCAGCAGCTCCAGGGGGGGGTTGGGGGGTCCCCGGCTGGGGGAGGAAGGACTCAAACCTCCACCCCCCTCCCAGCCATCCAGCCGTTTATCGATGGTTTCTGTAATGCTGCTGGGATGTGATGCTCCTGCCTCCAGCCCAGCGCCGGGACTTGCTGCCCTCTAGTGCTCGTTGCCTTCGGGGCTCCACACCCCAAAACCCCCAGCAGCTCCAGGGGGGGGTTGGGGGGTCCCCTGGGTGCTGCCCCCTCCTCTTATGGCACCCAGAGCTGCTCCCCC